AAACTGAGCTTCATGATGTACTCAGGTAAAGTGACCCTTTGAGGTACAGCGGGGACTTTACCTGAGATGAAAGCACATTACTGCTGCATTTCACTCATTCTAACATTCAAACTAATTGTTGCTCTGTAGAAATACAGAAACCTCGAACTTCAGCGTCCTCGTAACGTGGACTCAAGACTCTTCTGTCATCGGATGGAGACACTGATGCATGATCATCACGCGTGTGATCATACACAGAGCATGTCTTTCATTCAGTCTGAGTGCTGCGATTTAACTGAGCTGAAAGCTGAATTTATGAGTTGAGTCATTCACTATAGCAATGATGTGATCATAAAGAGAAAGTAAACAATGATTACTTTTCCTTTGCTGAAGCGAGTCTTGCTTCTCAATAATACTTCTGAACACATAGTCATGCATGTGTACAGTCACCAGTCTGTTGCTTTTCCAGCTTTACACCAAAATAAGCTTTAACATGCTAAAAAGAAACTATATTTCTATATTACCACCACCTTTAATTCTGCCATACTCAGTTTCAGGATTCTATGAGTGGCATGTTTCCCTCTTTAAAGTCTGTAGTTTGAGTGAAATTCAGTAAAAATCAAAGACTTGACAAACATTTAAGTCTGTCCACCCAGGAAAGCATGCACTGTGCATTTAATTAGGACATTGATATCATGCCATGCAGGTATTGATCCAATACCTGAGTTCAGTAAAGAGACACTCAGAATCAGTCATTTATCTGTGATAAATAAAATGACAAATACATCTATAACTATAGATTTACCGCAGGACCAGGACAGAACCTCATTAATGTAAAGAAAATTTGCTGGCATGAAATACCTTCACGTTGTGAAGTGCAGAGCACTTCCTGTCAATGTCAGCTTTTTGTTTTTGACTAGAAATGCAGCTGGTGTGCAGAAATGTTACCTTAACTTTACTAATAAATAAAATATTATTAGTTTCCATTATAATGAAGTAAACCAGCATCCACAAACTAGTGCCCAGTCATTGAACCCCTGCTGTTAGTGATGTTTCCAAGGCGTTGCATGTTACTCTGCAGCATAGATTTAATTCAAGTCTGCAAATGAGGCTCAGTGTGGCCTCTCGGCTGCACAGAGGGGGTGTTCAGGGTTTCAATGCGAAGCAGGGGAAAGTTGCAAAGGCTGCTGGGTAATAATAATAATTATAATAAAAATTACTCTTCTGACAAGCTGAGCTTCATGCTGCTGCTGGTTTTTGTGCCATAAGTGGCTTCTTGTTGTCTGTGTGTGCATCCATGTGCCTAAATGTTCTGGTAGGACTGGAAGCTGAGGGGGGGTGCATGTGAGTAAACTGTTACAGGCTGCGTTCAAGCGGCGGCGATCCATGGACGCAGCCATGAACTCTCAGTACCTCAAACTCCTGAAGAAGCTCGACAGGGTCATGTGACATTTGAGTAATGATGTGTTCAGGAGCGCTGCAGGTTTTCCAGCAGTGCCAACAGGCTTCAGATAAACTGGTAACACTTGACTTCACTTCCTGCTTCCACTCTCCACCTTCAGATGCCTCCATCAGCCAGTCTGAAAATGAATCACACTAAGAGTCCTCCACACTCCATTCCTATCAGAAATTCTGTTAAATCCAAACACTAAGCTGGATTCAATCAAAGTCCGGCTCCCTTTGACACACACCTGGATTTTTGGGAGGAGGAGAAGTTGAAGGTTGGAGAGTGGACAGCAGTGAACTGAACCAACCACTGATCGTTTTAAATGTTGCAATGAAGACGCCCCAGGCAGGCAGGCAGGGCAGCGGAGCGCAGTGAGATCGAGGAGTGTCCGGACACCTACACATGTATACCTCTTCCATTGATGCAGAGCAAGTTCTGCATCTCCACAGGATCGAGAACTGAATGTCAGGCAGATCTTTCTAGTAGACCTGAGCCGAGTAATTTGGGCTTCCATCTAATGCAGAAGAAAAGATAATCGGGAATAAACGGTTACCCTCTGCATTCATTTTCACTACAAAGTTCTCATTTTTCACTCTTTACTTCAGCTCGAGTGTGAAGTGGTTGGAGACACTTGGCACCAGTAATAATTCCACTCACATGAAGGTTAAATTAATTGGGATCACAACCGTTGACCAAACTAATCAAGACCCGACTACATGTGCCTGTCTGATGACTTTCTCGCCCCTCTAGCAGCCACTGATGTTTGTTTTAAGATCGAGCTTCAGTGCTGCGTCTGTGAATAAGCGTTAACAGACAGCAGTTTGTCTACAAACTTTCAGCTTTTCATAACTGCCCAATTTTTATTTTTGTTGTAAGATTTAAAGAAGAGAACTAACACTATAACCACTGGACGAGGTTGCATTTATCGATGGCCTCGGTGTGAAGTAAAAATCATACTTTTCGGTCTGTAAACAACCTTCTAACCGTGTCCAGACCGCTTTGTCTCACCCGTGAGCCGCAGCCCTGCTGCTGTCTGAGCGTTGGCCTGCAGAAATATCACAGCACTGTGATACCGACAGACTTGTAATAACTGTGTAAATAGCTGAGAGAAGACAAACTATCAGAAATACAAAAGGTGACACTGCTGTCTGGCATTTTGTATTTAAATTATTTATTTTTATAAATTTTGACCCGTGAGCTCTGCTGTTACAGTCGTGCTCTTTCCATTGAAATAAAGATTTCTAAGAGACTAAACTCTCGCTGTCCTTCATTTCTGTGACATTAATCTAAAATAGAAAGAAAAAAATATTATATTGGAGGTGTTTCTGTTTTAAGTTTCCTGTGAAAGACTGACTGCTTGGATGATGGACTCCAGGGCAGCTTCAGGTCCCAGAATCCTCAGCAGGCTCTCAAAGGCCTCAGCAGCACCGCCTACAGCCTGAGAAGGGAACAGCTGGAGAGCTACAGAAACACAAAGATCACAAAACCAAAACTATGAGCTTAACTGCAGGATTTGATAATCAGAGGGAGTAAAGTTAAATGTCACAGTGGAAAAAAATCAGTTGTCGGATGAATAAAATGAGTTTTGCTTAACCAAACTGCAGTTTTCTGTGATATTTGAGTGGTGCTTAAACTGAGTAATAATATTAAGTGTAATCACTGAACGAGGATTTTTTTTTTTCAGTAAATGAGCGCAGAATAGTCATGACATTGGATTTGCAACTTATCTCTGGGTTACATTTTCTGCATGGACGTTATGTTATTTTCTCACTCAGGATCATTAAACATGCTGAGAGCACTCTCTGACTTTTAAGGTAAGAAAACACTTAAAGTGTTTGCCAAAGGGTCAGTTCTGCAGAGCTCAGGATCACCAGCTCACCTCTCTCTGGGATCTTTGTGAGCAGGCTGATCTTCGGCGTCACAACACCCTCTCTGGAAACGTCAACTGACCAATGAATGAATAACATACAGCTGTAAACCAAAAAGAAAAAAATATGACATTGCATTACAGACAGCTGCATTTTTTTCTGACTGTGCTGGATCATGATGAGAGTTCTTGCCCGGGAAGCTTGGGGTGGTTCAGGGTCATGACCTCTGACCTGGGGCCTCCAGGGAGAGCGATGACAGATGGATATTTATCCTGCAGAGAGAAACAAGTTCCTGCGCATTAAATAAAATTCAATTTGTGTGTTTTAAGTCATCAAATACAACGTCTGGCTTTAATTCTATTTCAATTTTATTTATACAGTGCCAAATCACAACAGTTGCCACAAGGTGATTTATATCGTAAGATAGACTCTTACATAAATACAGAGAAAACCCAACAATCATATGACCCCCTATAAGCAAGCTCTTTGGCCACAGTGGGAAGGAAAACTTCCTGTTAACAGGAAGAAACCTCCAGCAGAACCAGACTGAGGGAGGGGCGGCTATCTGCTGTGACCGGTAAGGGGAGTAAGACAGGACAAAAGACATGGTGTGGAAGAGAGCCAGAGATGTTATTAATCTCTGGCTCTCTTCCACACCATGTCTTTTGTATGACTCAGTGCAGAGAGCTTTATTAACACATAGTGAGTGAGAAAGGACAAATTACAATAAAATCAAAAGCAACAATGATTAAGAAACACATAAATGACTGCACACAGCTTTCCACAGTCCATGCCAAGCATTTTTAAAATTAAAAATATCACAACAGTGCGTAATGATTATACAGCTGCTGTCACAAATGAAGCTAAAAAAAGGCTAAAAAAGCATAAAAACTCAAACTACAATCAAATTATTGTAATTTTATATATAAATTGTCCTCATTATTCAGGGACAATAAATAAATCGGACAGTTTGGTGTTTTCCTATCGTTTACTTGTAGTCACTTAAAGGAAACTTGGTGAAAAGACTGCTTTTCGTCATTTTCAAAGTTGGCCTGCAGATGGCGCTATAACTCCTGTTGTTGCCCTGAACTCTGGGCCTCAGTCAAACAAAACAGAGGTTAGTTGAGACACAATCAGTAATAAGGAGCCACGAGGAAGCCAGAGAAGTGAATATTTTCAGTGTGAGGTTGTGTTGTTGTTTCTTTAACTTCGCAGATGAAATGTTGACAAATGAGCGCTGCTTTGCTTCCAGTTACAAAGTTTCCATGTTGGAAACGGCAGCGTGCAAACACGTGTGAACTTTATGAGCTGCGATGATGTGCTAAAGGGACCTGGGGAGATTCTGGAGTGAAACCTGAGCAGATTATAAACTGTAAACCTCGTATATCTTCAGCCTTGAGTCACTGAAGGATCCACTGACGCGCCCAGCCTCCCTCAGGATGTGTTTTCCATGATTATTCAGTTCTTTAGGGAGGGTGCAGCAGGTGAGGGGTGTGTCCAGGTGACTCAGCTAGGAGGCATCTGCAGCTACAGTGTTTGTGTGTGTTGTGTCTTTAATCAGAAGCAGGCTGTGGTATGTTCAACTCCACCTGAACCACGGTGTTAAAGAAGGCTTCAGGATTATACAAAAGGTGCGACAATACAAGCACAACTGCAAAAACAACAGAACCGTTTGTTCCTCTAAGCCAGGGGTGTCAAACACAAGGCTCGGGACCCAGCAAAGACTCCAATCTGGCTTTAGAAATTGTACGTATTAATTTTTTTTTTTAAGTTCATACAGCTTTTCCTGCTCATACAGAGCTCCCCAAAGACAAAGAGGTACTACAAAGTAATTAAGTAGCAGATAATAAATTTAATAACAAATGGTGTTTTTTTTTGTACAGTCTATTACAGAAATTTGTTTTTCTTTACAATGTCAGTAAGGTCAGTAAAATTTATTTCTCATTTAAATCATGCTAACATGTTTCTTTTATTTACAAAAGCAGCATTTTTGTCTTCTATCTTTTGGACAATTAGAAACTAATTTCTGCATCTGCAAGTGGAACAAAATAAAATCTGCTCACAGTCTTCATGTTAAGGTCAGAGGTCATGATTCAACAATAAGAGACTGGGAATCAATGGCACCCATGGGAGAAAACCAGCGATGACCAAAAAGAACACAGAGGCTCATTTCACCGTCAACCCCCCAACAACACAAAACACAACATCATACTGATGACGCCCCACACTTCAGGGAAAATATTCTGTGGTCTGACGAGTGAAAGTTGCACTTTTTGTAAATTGTGAGTCCAGTTACATCATCAAACATGGTGGTGGTAGTGTGATAATCTTCAGGATATGGATGACTTGGATTGATGCAACCATGAATTCTGCTCTTTACCAGAAAATGCTTAAGAAGAAAGTCAAACAAAAAGTTAATGAGCTCAAGCTTAAACTCTGGGTATGCAGCAGGACAATGAACCAAAACACAGCAGCAAGTCCACCTCTGGATGGCTACAATTCTTGATTGCAGCCTATTGTGGCACAACCAGTTATTAGTTTAGGAGGCAGTTAGTATGTTTAAAAAAAAAAGAAAAGAAAAAAAGGTAGGTTTAGGTACCTTTTCACCCTTAATAAATTAAATCTTACAAAAATACCCAAAACAATTTAAGTAAAACAAAATGAGCTTGATGATCTGAAACATGCAGGTGCAACAAAGACAGACAAAGAAAAAAGAGACTAGGAGTTGAACAGATACTTTTTCGCAGCACTATAATGAAATACTTGTATACTTTTTTTCCTCTTTTTTACTTTTTATATATTTATCTGGGTGTGTGTAAACAGTCCATGTCTCAAACACATGCACACAGAATCTTGTTTTTTGCACAAATTAAGCTGTGAGCATGATCTCAGAAGCACAAAAAAAACCCCAAATGTTTCTGTAAAATGTAAAAATCATCACTCAAAACTATTCCATCCATTGTGTTTGTGGACACTCTGGAGACAACCATGCTACAGCCCATTTATAATCACCAGTTAACCTAACAGGTAAGTCTATGTGAGGAAGGTGAAAGAAACCCACAGTCACAGGGAGAGCATGCAGACTCCAGACTGAAAGGCTCCAGCTGGCCAGAAAATTAAGATAACAATAAAACTACAATAACATTTTTAAACGATAGAGATTTTTGTGTCTTTTTATTGAAAGTGTGCCTAAACCAGGATTTTATTAGGACCACCCGTGCAGTCTTGTGCCAAGAACGTTAATGAGGCGTACACCAAACACAGACACACTTTTCACTAAACCACCACCACCCCACACTGCTACGTTAATAATCTAGGGAAGGAGAACTGAAAACAATTTTCTGTTGTACTGAATTAGATTAGATGACACAGGTTTTCCTAATAAACTGGATGGTGAGTGTATGTACACCTTTAAAAGACTGGTAATACCTAAAATTCAGTGCTAGAGTTACATAAATGCTCTAAGCTGTGTCATAGCCCCACATCAACACTTCCTACTTGCCGTCTCAATTCATTTTCATGTAAAACATCTCTACATCACAAATAATTTTTCTGGATCATTTTTAATGATCAAATTTGCAGTTTTCAAGTTTATTTATATACGGTCAGTTCACATAATAGTTGCCTTGAGGCGTTTTATTTTGCAAAGACAGAAAATAAGCTCAGTCAGACAAACCTCTGTGACACTTGGTAACAGTGGGGAGGAAGAGCCCCCTTTGAACAGGAAGAAACCTTCAGGTTTTAGTAGTTTAGTTTAGACGTGGATTGTGACAAGTATGCTAACTAAATAATTTCAGTGCGATAACAATTACCATTATTAACACACCCAAGCTTAATAATTTTACTCTCACAGTTCCAAACTGCTTCCTGAGTGCCTGCTTTGCCTTCAGAGTAATAAACAGGCTCCTCTGTACTTATAATGACGAGTTCTGATACCTCAGTGTGTGTAAAAAAACATGTGGCTTGAAGATCAGTAGAACAGTTTCTGGGTTATTCCAGGGGTAGGTGCATAGACAGAGGCCACCCTCACTCACTTCTAGGGCTGCCACAAACGATTATTTTGATAGTCGACTAGTCACAGATTATTTTTGCGATTAGTTGACTAATCAGATCATGCATCCATTGGATGTACAGCTTATTGCACCAGCATGCATCTGCTCTTATATAACTATCATTAGCTTACAGCTTTAAGTGTTTAAGGTATGTGCTAACTAAAAATAAAGACAAGATGAGAGTTTGTTAAATTTTAATGATATTTGCAGATTGTTTCGATGGAGTTTAATCTGCTTGAGGTTTATTCAGCTTTGTAAAAACTATAACTTTAATCTCAGCCAAACCGATTTAATCAGGAACAAATAAAATACTAAAAAAAAAGGCAAACAATAACATTTTTAAGTTATCTAAGTGACTTACATATCATGTTTAACCTGAGTAGCGAAAGATGGCGGTGGGTTTGAAAACTATTTGCCAGGAGTCCAGTGTTCTCACAGGCTCTAGTGAGGCTTGAACCCCGGCTAGCTATCGAGCTAGTGGGTAACAGACGTCTCCGAAAACGTCAGAGCGCTTTTGAAACTATGTGCTGTCTTGATAAACTGAGCAGATATTTGAGGTTTACACAGCTACATTCTCGCCTGAAAATATGTTAATCTATTATTTTGTGACCCAGAAAGAATAATAAGAGTAATATTAAAACTAACTAGCTGCCGCCATTGTTGGAAACTGAGCTGGGCTGCGCTATGAATTCTGGGACAGAGCTACTTCTTCTTCTGGGTTTAACGGCAGCTGGCATCCTTGTACATGCAGTGCTGCCATCTTCTGTTTCAGTCCGTTATTATACTCTTAAATCCTACTACTTATTCCTGCGTCTTTTGGGATCTTACAAAGCTTCAAACGACGCGTCGACTATTAAATTAGTCGTCGACGTAATCGTGACTAGTCGACTAATCGTGGCAGCCCTACTCACTTCTGATGCAAACCAAGTCATTTTATTCGATAAGCAAGTCTGAAATATGACAGAAACTGCTTGTTTCGGAAAAGAGCTTTAAGGGTTACTCCTAGTAGGGTTTCACGGTGTAAGGAGTTAAATAAATGCATTTCGCTGACATATGAAGTCAGTTTGGCTGAAAGTGTGCAGACACGTCGGGACAGAATCAGCTGTAATGGGACACGAGGAACCTGCAGGGTCTTGTTCTTGTAATGCTTTTGCCTACTGTACGCGTATTACAGATGTTGATGCTGAAGAGCTGACATCTGGATAACAAAAGGGTGGAAATGCAGCTCTCTCTGAGCTCCTTCCTTTTATTTGTCAGTGCAGATGATCACACAAACAGCTGTTGTCTTTAAATCGTGTTGATATCAGCCCGTTATTCTACCATGCTGGTGTTAACAGAGGAAAAGTCTTCTGATTATAGAAAGCATGAAAGTAGTTAAGGGAGACACTTGAGTTCAGCCTGCAAACAGATTCAAACAGATTCAATAATCTACAGCTACAGCGGCCAAATCGAGTCAGTCAGGGAAGCAAATGTTTTCTTTTTTAATGAGTGTGTAGATAGTGTAAAACAAAAATGTGGCGTCTGTCTGTGTTTAAAATAATAAATGTTAATTGCATCATTCCAGACCTGAAAGAGCAGGTCAAGTTCCTCCTTTCTTCAGGCGGCTCTGAGGATTTTTCCACACTGAGCCTTCTATTTGACACTGAAGTGACACACTCTTATCGGACCTCCATCCAAACTTAACCTTTTCAACTCATTATTAGACTTTAGAGGCAAAACAGGCTTCGTGCTTCATACTCTGATAGTCCTGCTTTTTCTGAGACATCACCGCCGATCGTTTTGCTCCAATATCCTGCAGCATGTTGGCAGCATCCTCACACATACAGGAAGACAGACCTGTCTCACTCTCTCTCCCTCTCTCTCTGTCTGTTTGTTACTCTCTCTCTCACTCGCTCACTTTTTGTTCCAGCTGCTGTACAAATCCTGGCTTTCCTTTGCAGACTTATTACCCTGCTCTGCTCTACTCTACATCTCTGCGCCTGGAGACACATGCAAACTTTAAGTGTCATCACACAGCGACACACACACACCTCTCCTGGAGTTCCTGCTGAACCAGAGGAGGAGGAAAGAGGCTGGAAGAAATTGGCCTAAAGTCCTGCAGCCGCCTTCGAACTGCTGGTAATGTAGCGCTGTCTGTCTGTCTGTCCTCAGCTCCTCCCCTCTCTAAGTCTCTGCCTGTCCGTCTGTCCGTCTGTTGTACTTGGGTTTGTAAACAGTTGTTTCATTGCTGGAGAACACTTGGAGATTTGTAGCGTGATAAATTAACTTTTTTCAGGTTGAGCATAAACACTGGTTACAATAATAACTCACTAATTATCAAAGTAATGCAAGAAATTCTCTGTAAATCACTTAATTACTGAGCAAAACAGCTTCCACGACATGGGCTTGATATCCATGTGGATCACAGAGGAAAACCTGGTTTACGCTTGTGTCTCCTAGTAACACAGGAAGCAATGAACGACTCCTGTGTTATGCTGGTTGGAATAAACAGATCATGCTGCTCATCGTCTGAAGTTGTGGGCGTGAAGTCTTTGCTAGTCAGTTTTTCTCCTTGTTGTTTGAGGTTAGTTTGGTCTGTCAAGGCCCCGTTTGCTTGCTCCCACTGTGCTGCTACAGATATGCATTTCTCTCTGGTTTAATGTGTTTTCCATTGGGTGATGCCAACTTTGCAGAAGATTTCCTGGAACAAAATTCGTCACACTAAATACAACACTTAGAGGCTGGTGATTGTGATTAGTCAAAACGATGTGAGATTACATCGCAACAAACACAGCCATTACTGCCGCGTCCACTCGAAGGAAATGAACTGGACAAACCAACATGTGCAGGCACTGTCAGAGCCGCAGACGATAGTTTGTACTACTGTGTAAAAGATGACATCAAAGTTTAAAATGCCTTAAATCTGCATTATTTCTCATGTCCACCAGGGGGTGACTCCTCTGATTGCAAAAGACTGCAAGAGCTCCGTAAATAAATACTTTGCTTCATCCTTGTCGGTGCATTTAAATGTCAGAAGCTCGGTGAGCATCTGCTGCTTTTGTGTCAGACATTTATGATATATACATATTTTATAGAGACTCAATATTTCCAGGAGGCAATGGGAGACATGAGAAACTAAAATAAGGATTTTTCAAGCTTTGCTGACATTTTATATTAAATATGAGGCTTAGAATGGGGTTTTGGTTGGCTGACTAAGCATGAGAGTAAGCTATTTATGACCATTTCATAAACAAATGTCTCTAATGTTTGAGTCAACGAAACCCCAAACAATTAAATTGGTTTGAAAAAACAAACAAAAAACAAACAAAAAACGGGAAGGATGACAGGGAGATTTTCCTTTGGATCTTTGGAAGTCATAAAAATTAGTCTCTGCAGGAAAAAAAACCCTGTAACTGGTCAACATAAAAACACAAATATGTTTGTTTTCAATGAGCTATAAGTGGTGGCAAGTCAGGTTTTGGATGTCAAACAAGCATCGGTTATTTCAGACTAATAATCTTAGTTTGAATAAACATACATTTGTTGGCTATAAGTGGGGTTTTGCAGATCATGTTACTGAGATGTGACACCAATGTTTAGAGCTGTCTTAAGGAAGTTGCCGGTACAATAAGCAGAAAGTAGTTTGCATAAAATATTTGTAATAAAAAGTCAATACAATTCAACTTCAGTTAGTTTGGGTGATTTCTCCAAATCCAGTGGAATGTTTTCGGAAAGCAAAGAGCAGTGGACCAAAGCTCAAGCTTTAAACACCGCCTGGCTTCCATTAATCCATAAACACACAGACTCCTGGTTATTTTTATCCTCTGCTGCTCATATTGGAAGTCTCTCCATCTGAGCCTGCTCATCCAGAAACTGAACTGCTGAACATTTTCCATCTCTTTCCCCTCCCTCCTGTTTTCTTTCTCCTGTCTCAGCTCACATTGGTCTCTCTCGCTCTTTGTTTCCCATTGAATCCTGGTTTCCTATTGGTGAGGGCTGATGTGAGGTGGGAGGGTCTCGGAACTGAATGTGATCAGACCTCCAGTCCGTGGAGCTGCAGACTAAAGTTTTACTCCATCCTAAAGGAAATGTGAATGATTAAAAGAGGGAGGGCGTATGTAGGGGATCAGAATAGCCTCTAACTGTGACACATGTGTGATTTTCAGTGAAACTTCATGGGAGATGTAGTTTTTAACAGTGGTTAAAATTCATTATCTAATATCGCAAAAATAACAAATGAACTAAGATTTAAAGGCATGTTTTGAAGCTTTAACTTTCCCACCAATTATGTTCCATCATAAGACATAACACATACTCTCACTGTCATGTTCAAGAAACCTGTTGGAGATTATTTGAGCTTTGATGGTGTATTATCCTGCTGGAGCAGCCATCAGAACCTGGGTTATCTGTGGTCAACATGTCCATCCCTTAACATCACATATAAGCTGTTTATCCCCCACACCCTTACAGCACCTCCACCAGCCTGAACCGTTGATATGAGGCAAGATGGATCCATGCTATCAGGCTGTTAACGCCAAATTTTAACGTCCACCTGAATGTTGTAGCAGAAATCGTAACTCAGATTTCTGCTACAAATTTTCTTTTTTGTCCTATCTTGGCAAGCCTGTGTGAATTTCACCCTTGATTTTCTGCTCTTAGAGATGATTATGCAGGAAAATTTAATTAGATCAGCATTTTTGGAGATAATGTGACCATCCTATCTGACACCAGCAATTATGCCACATTCAAAGTCAGTTAAATCACCTTTTCCCCTCATTCTGATCCTCAGTTTGAACGTCAGCAGGCCTATATGACTGACGTTCTGCCTTGTGACTGACAATTATTTGTGCAAACAAGCACTTGAATATAAGTAGCCATGAGTGCAATAATAGCCTTCATGATTCCTTTTAATTAAAATGTCCAAATTGTACATATGTTTGCAAAACGTGGCATAGATGCAACACACCACACCTCACCATAAATGACAAATATCTGAAACTCCACTTTCCTTCTAAAGTATAAACTCTTGGGTGTCTCTCATAACTGTTAAAGAAATACATAATGTCTCTCATATGCAGATAAATCTGACAAATATCACCACAGCCAATCAGCTTTAACATTACTCCAGCCCAGAGGGTGGCAGTGATGCTCACTGACCCTTCTGGTAACTGGTAATTGGAAATAAAACTGCTCACCAAAGTTCAGACGGGTAACTATTAGGGGTGCAACGATACACAAAATTCACGGTTCGGTTCGGTTCGATACTTTGGTGTCACGGTTCGATATTTTTTCGATACAAAAAAATGTTCATGCATTTTTAATTTGTCATTTATTAAAATTATAAATATATATTTTAACTCAAAAGTACAGTTTTTAAATTTAACCCTAACCCTTGTGCGTGTTTTTTATTTTGACAGCGAATGCGCACCTGCGGACCACTTATGTGCAGCCCTGGTTATTTAGCTCATCATATTGCAGCCAAAGAAATTATTTTGTCCATGAAACCATAAAGCTGCACTTTCTTTTTGCCTTATAGTCTGATTTGTCATAACTTCTCCGTTTTGTGGTAAGCTTTTCTTTGGCTGTCACTTCTTCACCCTGACCTGTCTTATTTGGCTCAGCAGAACTGAAATGCTTTTACACGCTCACTCACATAAGCTCAGCGATTCTCTGCGCGACCAACCTCTCACATGTTTAAGCTGCGGGAGATTTCACTTGTCATGTTTGCATAGTAAGCTAACGATTGATAAGACGATGTCAGAGGAATTGGTGCACAAATTATCATCACTCACAGATCAGTGCTGTCGCTCTCTATACACAGTTCGCACGATTGCAAAGTGAAAGCAAAAAAACAAGCGCAAATTCAAACGCGATTTCAATATGTCACATATTGACAGTGGCTCACCGATGCCAATGACATAATTACCCAGCTATATTTCTGAAAGAATGCAAAAGCATTGACATATATTTTTCCTTCCTACGATAGGCCGACGGGCAGGGCAGAGATAGATTTTGGTAGCCAGACTGAAAAAATCGCTAGCTCCGGGACGTCGGGCTAGCGATATTGCAAGCCCTGTATCTGATTGAGGAATCACTCATCTTTGGAAAAGAGAGTTTATTACAGAGAAATGTCTCTTTCCAAAATAAAAGCTATACTATCCGCTTCTTCTGGGCTATATTCTCAGCAGCATAAGGAGAATCATGTGCTAACAGCTGTCTAAATGACTCGGCTAAAGTTAGTAGCATGCTTGTTGTTTTTGTCTTTGCACTAGGATGATGTCGGCGTAAATGTGCAGTCATATTCGTTGTGTTCTCACTAGTGCTTTCAGGTTAATCTCGTTGAAATGACCTTAACGCCACAACACGGCAAATCTCCGTTAACGAGCTACCGCCGATCGCCCCGTGCATGGGGCTAGACGGCCAACACGTTAACGAGCTAACTGCACTAACACACTAGTTCACACCAATGTAATTGAGCATTGCATGGCACATCCAACATACTGTTTTACTTTAGTCCATGACTCGCTTACCTTCAGGGTCATACGTCACATGAAAACCAAAATAATTCCAAACGCCAGATCTGAATGAGGTTCAATTTGCTTGTTGCAAGCAGAGCTTAACTTCTGTCTCGCTAGCTTGCCCTGCGCTCTTCCTTCTGACTATGCTGTCTGTGTTGAGTGCTCAGTGGATCTGCGCTCAACAGTGCAGCCTAGGCGGAGTAGTCGAACACAGATTCACTGAGCGCTCAACACAGACAGCATCGTCAGAAGGAAAATTGATAAAATAAATTACAAATGTTGTATTGTTCGATACATATGCGTACCGAACCGAAAGCACTGTATCGAACGGTTCAATATCGATACGAATATCGTTGCACCCCTAGTAACTATAACTTGTCATCTTAAACAAAAACATTAAGTCAAATGGGAACACAAAGGTCTGCGTGTATGAACCGGTTTCACTTGTACCACAGTTTGCTCCATACAGATTTGTAGTGTTTATGTAGCATTTTTTTAAAGTGCATTTTATTTGTCCTTAAAATACAAACAGAGGAAACTGTTTCCAGCTGATTTTAACAGTACTTTGAATGTGAGCCACATATGGTAAATGTTTTGGTCAGTGTTATTAGTCCTCAAATTGGAGATGGATTGCAGCAAACCTTTTTTCTTTTTTAATTAAATCTAATATCAGCCATGTGGACTGGTCTAAAAACTGTAATAATCAGGCTCAGAAGTGATCTGAGCCCAGAGCTTTATTACAGTTTTTGTGGATAATTTCTGTTTTCTTTTGAATTAAAGGTTTAAGGACATTATGAGGACCTGACACATGATTCAGGCTTTTGGTTGAATATACGAAAAGTTCACCTGGTGTTTATTTTGACCAAAATGGAGGCGCTACATGTGGAAACCTTTCTGCTGAAAACATGTAAAATTAATACACTGAAACAAAACAGACACAGAAATGTACCAAAAACAGATGATGCATACAAGTCTGATTGTAACTACACCAGATGAGGAATTTTCTGGTTTCTCATAACTGAAACGTGCCGAGATCTAAAATTAAAAAGCTCAGAGCAATGACAAATCAGTTCTAAATAAAATAGTTCCCTGGCATTTATTGACTGAGTACGGAAAACAAGTTGTCTATCTGGACAGAAATCAGAGGCTCATATGATACAGAGAATTGCTTAAATCTGCTCCATTCAGAGGGGGAATCAGACAGAAAAACAAACTATCAGGTGTGCGAAGGTGTGTTTTAGCCTCAGATCTCTATGCTTTAATAATGACAGGACTGCTGTTTATAGACTAGTCATTACACACATACATGGAACCAGCCATTAGGACCCCAGCCGAGAGCTATATGAGGGACAGAAGCAGTGCTGACAGCTCTTTACTGAGAACTGCTGCAGGTAAAATCCTCTCTCTTTTTGTGTTGTCTATTTTTCTGAAGTTAGAGGTAAACATGAATCTATCTGCTTTACTTCAGTTACTTTACCAGCTGCAGGAAGTAAGAATTTAAATGATCAAGCATTAAAAAGATGATTTAAAATAGGAAAAATACTAAAACCAAAAAGAAATCTTAAAAAAAGGGAGGGGTTTTTTTAGACCTTTTATAATTTTTCTAACTCATATGTAGCTGAAAAGTGGAAAGATAAAAGAAAATGGGTGTAGAGGGAGATGCAGAAGAATATGAAACAAAGGTCTCATGTTGCTTTCAAAACTTGGACATCTTAAACCCTGAAGAATTTACAGTTTTATATTATTTATTTGTCTTCAGTGTATTCCTTTAACTAGGTGGACTGAGTATTAAATCCATTCTCTTTGGGATTAAACTAAGTTTATAACAACATGTATGCAAAACTTTGCAGCTGTTTGTATTTGTGATGTTTTTTTTTTAGTAAAAAAAAAACAACAACCTTTCTTTGTGTGGAAAAATGTCCTTTTATTTACTTATTTAACACTGTTTATTTTCACGCTGTCATGATAAAAAGCATGTTTATTGATAGTTAGATCTTATTAAAAGGGGAAAAGTACTGTGTAGCAACCTCCTCCTGAACCTAGTCTGTGCTGCTCTATAGGGATGAGGTGGTGGCTGGTGGTGGCCAGTCTGTGGCTGCTGGTGGCCTTGACCATCCCTGATGCTGAGGCCAGAAACCGACCACGAAACCAGAATGGTGAGATTCTTAGAGTGAGGAGGAGGAGGAAGGATGGACAAGGTGAGACTTTTTTTCCATTCAGGGTAATTTTTTTTTTTCAGTTTAATGCTTAATTGACCAGTACAGAGATTTTTTTTTTACCGTATCAAAAAGATTTGAGGGAGGTAGAGAAAGCCTAGTTTCATTAAAAGCGAAAAGGCACCGAGAATAGATAAGGTGGTTTTAGCAACAGTTATAGCAACAGTTACAATTAGAGCTGTTGTGCTGAAAATGTAATGGGTGATCTCAAAGGTTCTGAAGTGATAGTAGAGTTGACAGGAGTGGAGTTTGGTCTTCATGCTCTGAATCATGTACTTGAGCCCTGGATCTTTCTAGAAATTTCTTGGCAGGGGTGCTGGTGAGAAAGATAAAATGTCACATGTAGTGTGTTTGGGCATTAAACTATCTTTAACATGTCAGTGCCGGACTCATGGTGCATCCACTTCTAGGAAATGGACATCATGTGTCTTGTTTCCACTAATCAGGCACACAGAGCATTTCATGTAGTGATAATGTTTCTGAAGTTGGGCTGTTTCCTGCTATGTGCTACAGTCATATTATCCCAAAAACCAGTGAAGGGCAAGGTCTAAGGTTCTTGTGTGAAAACTGCTGTTTGCTGATGCAAAAACCTATTTACAAAAAAATCCCTCACAAACACAGAAGGGAACATTTAGCTTTCAGTCAGTCTCAAGTAATAAACTCACTGGGAAACAAGTTTAGGTTAAATGACAGTGTCAAAACAACCAAAAACATCCCCATGTTCCTAGAAAGATGCACATTAATATGACCAGTGGTTGCAGGTTTTGGCCGGGCTAGAACTAGACCTCTGAAGATCAGACTGGTTCCTGGTCCCAGCATCCCAGTGGTGCCTGTAGAAGGAAATGCTCTTCTCCTACAACCCTATAAGAACATCCAAGAACAGCACGCCACCTACAACGTCATCCCAGGTCAGTGAGACAACTCTGCTAATCCATGTTTATGTGACCAATAATATAACAGTAACGTAGGGTTACTGTTACATAGATTAGTCGATTCACACATAGGGTGTGGATGGACTAATCAACTTTACTAACAAATATCACAACACAGTGTACAGTGATAAAAAAAAAACCTTTAAAATTATTCACATTTCCAGTAGGAGATAGATTAGATGCAGCAATTAGAACCAAAGTGGACTTATTAACACAGAAGAAGGAAGTTATTTTTTTAACATATCCCAAAAGATTCACAAATAAATAATAGGTAATAAAATCTTAAGTGATACAGTAAAAAAACATCCAGATTTAGAGAAGCTGCATGTATGAGTCCAGTCAAACAACAGTTCAGCTCAGAAGCTCCATCCTGTTCTCATAACGAAGCTGCCGGCTTTTACAGCACCGCAATTTAATGACAAATCATCACATTCCAAAATGAACAGAAGGGAAAAACATCTGTGGGAAAAGAGCTCGTCAGAGAAGTAGCCCTGAAACATCGCACACAGAGATGGGGACAAAGGCTCCAAAGAATAACCTCAAAGCCATGTGGAAAACCTTCAGTTTAACACACTAAAGTCAGCATTATGTAATTAGAAGGGAAGGTAGCGGCAGCAAGCTTTTGTTGGAAGCTACAAGGATTTTTCCAATTCTTTTTTTTGCTGTTGTTTTGGGTGTAAGAACAAGTCTCTGTTTAAGTGACTGTAATGTAACAGCAACAGTCAGACTGCAGTTTACAGTAGCAAGAAGCGGCTCATCAAACCAGTGGACTTTCCACTGAAGACTGGGGAAATGAAAGACCTCTGACCAGAAGTCACAGCATTTTAGTGTAAGTGTTAATTTTGGATGTATTTATATTTTCAAGGTCCCCTTACTTTGCTTCCTTACCTTGCTTTTTCAACAGATTTACTCAGATTGAGGCCCCATTTATAATTCACAAGTGTTCAAAGTATAATTCCAAGTCATGTGACTGTATTAAGTGGTCAAGGGCAGAAAAACTGGAAAGAAGGACTTTGAGTTATGCATTTTTTTATATTTTACACAGGGAGCATTTACTTTATCTTAATCTATTTACATTCACCAGGTCGCCGGCGACCTTTTCAAAATTAGGCTAAGGTTAACAGTAATCTGAGAAGACATCGGCTGGTCTGATCATTTATCGTCTGTGTGTAGCAGCAAACGTTTTAAAGTTTGCAGTGTACCTCAGTTCCACCAAAGCGTTCTTATACATGACTGGTCAACAGAACACTGACTAAAAACAGAGTATAACTAACTGTTTACAGAGATTAGGCTGAATCTCTGTAAATTGCAGCAGTCGTTATGGATTTTTGTCTATCTGGCCCAGCAAATTATAAGGGCTATAGCAAAGGAAATCCAACCATCATGAGGGCTTAGGGTGCACCAGACTTCTCGCAGCATTCTTCTGAACAGTAGGACTCTCATAAAACTCAGATAAAACCTCAGCACCAGTGTCCGCATAACAATCGAAGTTGTAGAAGCAAGAAACAAAGTGATCATGGAGTTTTTCAAAGCTTTTTCAAGAAACTCATCTTTTCAAACTGCTGCACCATCTCCCTCAGTATAATCAGGAAATCTCTGAGCTTCTGCACTGATATACCAAGTAAAAGTAAAAATGACACCATCATACACTCGTGCCTTCAACCTGGCCAAGCTGAAACAACACTAAAGCATGGCTCATGTCAGTGGATGTAACATCACTTTTGGATTGCACCGCCTTTTGCAAGGATGACAGCAGTGGGTGTAATGGGGCCTTATGCCGAAATGCAGCAAGCTCCCTCTTCCCAGCATGTCCTGGACTGCCCTGCGGCCTCTTCCCAGTTGGACATGCCGAAAACACCTCACTGAGGAGGTGTGCAGGAAAATGCTTAGTCAGATATTACAACCAGGTGACTCCAAGACCAAAGAAGTGTTTCTGTTATATTTATGTGTCATATATTATAATATTATAAAAACTTGTATTGTTTTTAACTGTTGTCCACTAATTGTGCTACTGGTGATAAAAACAACAAATAATATGCTCTGAATGGTATAGGATAGTGCCATATCACAGTGCTTACCAAGCTAACCATGCTATTTAATCAAAAACCTGCAATTTACTGAGCAATGTAGAGAACAGTGACACAGAGACAAAGTTTTAAAGAGAAAAGCTCTAAAGTATGTGTGCTCGAACTGAGATGACAGGGTGACAGTCTCACTGCTCACTGTTAAAAGGACAAAGATATTAGGCAGACCGTATTTAAGAGAAATAACCTGAGCCTCTTAACTACCTGTGTTCCTATAGACGTAACAAAGAGCATACCATTAGAAAGGATAGATGACAGACAGAGCTAACAGACAAAAAAAAAAGAGGCTCTTCCTGCTGTATCATAGTGGTTTACAGTCTTTTATACTGACTCACTGCCAGGCATAGCCTTGTCTTGTCCTCGGTCTCATGTTGAAAGGTGAAGTTAATTCAAAGGGAGGAGTAGAAATGCTTTGTCTGTTTTTTATGGTAAAGTACAGGCTTTAGATTCGACTAGACACACACAGCAATTATTGCAGCAGGCCTGCTGCTGCTGAGGAGCATGAAAAGGGTCCAGGATAAAGTTGTGTCTGGCTCTAAATCTTAAATCACTGCTCAGCTTTGTTCAGTGACTCAATTTGTTGTGGTTCTGTGTTCAGTGAAAATAAGTTCCTTTGTTTGAAAACTAAATTGGTCAATCAGAGGTTTGTTGATGAGATTAGGAATGGGGATGTCAGCTTCTAGCACCAGAGCCAGAAAACAGTCACAACATAAGGTGCTGATTAGATTTTTGCACCTCTACAGGTTACTGCAAGTCAGACAGATGCCCCATTCACTCCCCAAACAATATGGGGCCACCATCCTGTAAAACTAATGCGGTCAAAAAGTTCCTTGAATCACCCCACCAAAAATGGCTGATGTTTGCTTTAAAGTCAACTTCTTGTGCAGCAGTGCTCCTGGAAGTCTTGTTTTGCACTTTTAAGTCTCTAAATCTCAATGTCAAATTTGCAGAAAACATACACTTCTCTTCCAAACTGACTTAATTTTCACACAGAGGCTCCCCACTGCTGATGACACCTGGATTTACAGCTGTGATCCAGTAGTTTCTCCACAGGTAACAAGTTTTCCTGTAATGTCCCGAGGCATCTAAAGAAGAACATACAGTGGAAACTCCCTGAATTGTGCTACAGTGTGCCAGTAAACAGCACATTATAAAGGCCACTGTTTGGCCTCACCACCTGTCCCACTTGGCTAATGTGAAAGATCAAGTAGGGGTTTAGACAAACACAGGAATATAATCTTGAAGGGCAAGTCATTTTAGATTTTCATGAGTAACTTCCTTGAATTTTCTGGTGGCACTTTTTACTAGAACGGTTCTCTTATTTAGCAAACAAAACTACAACAGGGCAGAGGCTGGGAAACTCTTTCAATATGAAGTAAAATAGTGTAATCTCTAAGCAGCACTCCATGATCCAAAGTGTTTCTGTTATTAAGACATGATTCACAGTGAAAATGTTTGGTATCTGAATGAAAAGAAACCACATTTGGTTCTTCTTCTCATTTACCACTATGTAACAAAGTGTCACCCACTGCTTGTTTGATTGTGTTGAGTGACTGCTTGCAGGCTTTGTAATTATGTCCAGTTGTTTCAATGCTAATTATACTTTCAGCATTTGCACAGTTGTTGTGCAGAAAACCAGAAATCTTACCATGTACCCACGATGGTGAGGCTGCAGATGTTTCATAGTGTTTTATGACTGTGTGTGCTCACTGCAGATGTCAAACGCCAATATACTACAGTAGCAGTCATGTTCTTGCCCATAGTGTGTGTCCTTATGGGTACACTGCCAGGTCTTAATGTTTTTCAGACATTATTTGCTAATGTTAAATGTACTAATGCTTCTAGATAATATAAACATTTCATAGTTTGATTTCAATTAATTACTCCTGACATTACTGTCTCTGTGTTGTTTCAGGTAAGCAGGGCCAGTGTGTGTACCAGGGTCTGACCATGTTTGACCAAGCCGTCTGGTCCCCAAAGCCCTGTGTGACTTGTCTGTGTACCGGAGGGCGGGTGGTTTGTGATGAGAGCACCTGTCCCGAAATACACTGTCATTTCCCCTTCACCCCTGCGGGCGAGTGCTGCCCTGTCTGCATGGAGCCAGGTAGAAACACAACATGTGACACAGCCATGGTACAACATTCAGAGGCAACAGATATTAACACCAAAGTCCCCTCAAAACCTAAAGGGGACCTACTAGAGTAACTCAATCAATCAATAATCCACATTTCAAGATGTTCTATCTGCTACTATCTTATGAGTCAGTAGACGTCTCCTTTGTTAAAATGAAACTCGTGTAAATTGTTCATTACATCAGTTCTGAACGGAATCGAAACATTTCCTTGGTGCTGAATAATTTCCATCTCTGAGGCCTCAGCATGTTGCTTCCTGTTTCATCATGGCTTTAAAAATGTGGTATGCACATTTTGGATGCGTGGACATTCATGTTGTGAGAGTTTTAGCATGTTTGTATATTGGGACATAACATCTGTTGTTCAACATGTCTGGGATTAATTTTGCTTTACTGTCAATTCAGATCATCAGAACAAAGACGAATGAATGTGGGACTAATATGAGGTTTAAAGATGAGATGCTGAGTCATATTACTGGGAGATCTGTGGAGATGCTGGAGGCAGAAAACAAATTGTAAAAAAATATTTGTGGGAAAGACTCAGCAGGCCTGTAGTAAAAACCTTTGGCAATGAGAACATAATTGTTAAATGTAAATATATTTTTACACTGTAATTTTTTGAGTTGCTAATGTTGGGGCAAATAATTTTCTACCTCTGCATGCATGTGCATCCTTTGTTGTAAATGGGAAACTTGTCTTTAAAACCTTCTAAGAATTATGGGGAAAAATAGCTGAACTTACACTATTTTTTCGTTGCTCATATTTTTGCATGCCACATTGAGTGCATATGTACAGAAATACAGCAGAAGAAAACCTCTTTTCTATGACTTGAAGGTCATAGAAAAGGTGTGTTCCTCTACCTGTACACGTGCACCTTCTGTTGTATGTATAAAGTTTACTGGGAAGGAAGCTGTTTTATAGCCAGAACAAAAGTCCAATTATAGTTATTCCCAAACTCACTGAAAAACCTCAGATGTAAGTTTGTCTCTTTGATTTTATATTTACTAAATGATCTTGTTAACACAAACTTTTTGACTATAAAACAGCACAAGTGTTGGACAAGTGAGCTAAAGTTGGTCTAAATCAGGAACAGTATTTTGCTGCATGATGTTTTTGATTCTTATAAGATGACAAACTGTATGTTTTATAAAATGTATCCATTGCTTCTGCTTCTACAAGACATTTTATAGATTTGAACAGAAAATTTACAGAAACCAACTAACCAACTATAAACTTAGGAGATGCCTAATCAGAAATATTTAGGCAGTCTGAGCTAATTTGATTCCCCACAAATGTTTGAAATTGAATACAAAATTGGACTCAAAAGATAAATAACAGCCACAAACACTGTCAACAAGGCCAACATCAGGTAGTACAGATATTTTGATGAGGAACTGATCCATTGTTAAATATAACCAACCAATTCTTAGGCCAAATTTGATTAGCCTTTTACAAAATGAAACTGTCTTGTAACTTCTCTCATTTTCATGACTTAACAAAAACATGAGACACACAAACATTCTCATATGGATGTATGTTTATGAAAACAAGTCTATAATTCATATTCAGATTTAGGACCAGAATGCACCAGTAGCAGCAAACACCACAACAACTGACTTTATCTGACTGTGATCATATGTCTTAGTGGTCTTAGTGGGATTTGGTCCAGACTGGTCTACAGCAGCAGTCTGCTCTGTAGCTTTAACAAGCTGGTCTGAAAGAATGTAGATGGCTGTTTGTTCACAGCACTAACACACAGCCGTCTGTTTGTCCATCTGCTGTCTGTCTGTCCACCTATCACCATGCCTGTCTGTCCCCACCAACCTCAATCTCCATCCTGTTTCCTCTCTTTTATTGCAGTTTCTTTATTTTTCCGCTCTACTTCTTCATCTTTCTCTCTGTCTGTATCTCAAACTTTTTTTTTCTTCACTCCTCTTTTCCTTCCTGTCCCTTTTCCTCCTACCCCTTGATGGGGTGTCCCTCACCACCATAACCCCCCCCCAGAACCTGACCTCAGCCTTGACATTTCTGGTGACTCCCCAGTTCCCAATGACCCCAGTGATGTCGTGACTCCACTGACCCAAGAGGAGATCCAGAAAATCCTCTGGAGGGAGGCAGAGCAGCATCGTGAGGAGGAAGAACGCGTGAAGAAGAAGGAGGAAGCGAGAAGAAAGAGAAGGAAGCAAAGGAAAGAGCAGGAGGAGAAACAGAGAAAGATAGCTGAGGAGATGAGAAAGCAGGAGGAGGAGGCACTGAGGCTGCAGGAAGAAAAGGAACTGGAGGAGTGGAGCAGGCAGGTAGATGAGGAGCAAAAGAGAAGGCAGGAGGAAGAGGAAGATAGGAGACAGAAGGAGGAAGCAGAGAGAGAAGCAAGAGAGAGGGAAAGGAAGCTAGAGGAGGAAAGGAAAAAGCAGGAGGAGATGCTGAGGGAAGAACTTTTGGATTTAGTTGAAAAGGAGAAAGAGCGGCACGAGGAAGAGAACGAGAGGTACGAGGAAGAGATCGAGAGGCACGAGGAAGAGAACGAGAGGCGCGAGGAAGAGATCGAGAGGCGCGAGGAAGAGATCGAGAGGCGCGAGGAAGAGATCGAGAGGCGCGAGGAAGAGATCGAGAGGTGCGAGGAAGAGATCGAGAGGTACGAGGAAGAGATCGAGAGGTACGAGGAAGAGATCGAGAGGCGCGAGGAAGAGAACGAGAGGCGCGAGGAAGAGAACGAGAGGCGCGAGGAAGAGAACGAGAGGTACGAGGAAGAGATCGAGAGGCGCGAGGAAGAGAACGAGAGGCGCGAGGAAGAAAAGGAGGAGCAGGAGGAGGAGGTGTGGCTGAGAGGAGATGTGTTTCAAATGCTTCCAAAAGAGCCTGAAGAACCTGAGGAACCAGACCTCCTTCCTGCTCCGATTCCAAGACCTCCAGTTGCTACAGAGGAGGAACAGGTAGAAACCAAAGAGACGGAAGAAGGGGAGGATAGGGAGATCATAGTTGTAAACAGAGGAGGCCTTCCTCCAGGCTGTGACATCTCTGACGTTACTGCCACATGTGAGGATGCCAAACTCACACACTTCCCTCCTCTGGCCATTCCTGAGCTGAAATCCCTCAGTCTGGAGGGTAAGTCAACACCGGAGACACAGAGTCATTAAAGAAAACAAACCCTCAAAACAATCTGAGGATTTCAGAAGGATGTATATTATCAGTAGAGTTATACAAATACAAGTGAAACACTTAAAAAGGAAGCTTCAATATTATGTCAACCCACAACTCAGATGAAGCTTCTTAGCCTTTTTTTTTTTTTTTTTTAACAGTAAGAGAAATATAAAACTGATAATACTCGCATTAGGCTAATGATTGCAGAGGATTTGTACTGTTGCAGTTGAATGCAGTGTTTAATCAGTGACCTTGCATATTGGACAACGAGCAACCTGTAGCCTAATTTAAATATTCATGAACTTTTTTAAGGTGAACTTTTTTGAATGTTCATAATATTTTCATTGTAACATGTTACTGTATTTTGATTCAGTTACCCAGTGTGCTTCCCTTTGCTTACTTTATCATAGTCAGTGTCGGCCCAACCCAGACTTAAAGCATAAAGTTGTCATCGTGTATATGTTGTCTTAGCCTTGTGACATGAACACTGCTGGACAACAATCGCGTACAATCTTTTTACAGTCAAAACAGCAGCATCTTTTACCAAACAAACAACTAATGCGCTGCAAGGTTTGGAAAAAGCAGACTTGCATTATTAACATCGATCATCTAAAGCTGCTAAAAATCTGAAGTTTAACAAGAGAAAGGCATTACAACTGCCACCTACAAGTGAGAAGCTGGAAAAAACTTTTAGTTTGCCAAATTAGTATCACTTACCAGCCTGGGGAAGGGATTTAGAAACTAAGACTCCAATTAAGAAAGCACACAGAAACAAACTACAATTGGAGAAATCCTGTTGTCAATATTAACTGAACTTGCTCTGACCTGTAGGCAACAGCATCAGCCGCATCCCAGCAGATGCCTTTAATGGAATCCCTAACCTGGAGTGGATCAACCTGAAGAAAAACAAACTTACTTCTGCTGGCATTGATGCTAAAGCCTTCAAAGTAAGTCATAATAAAACTGAAAACGACTGAAGCCCAAGCTTTTTAAAAAAAATCATCTGCCAGAAATATAACAATGGTTCAAGTAATAAAGTTTAAAGGTGGGTGTGCAAAGACATATGGCCATCTTCAGTGTAATATCATCAACTCCACGGAGAAAGAAAGGTGTAACATAATAACAAAATCTTTAAGACTTGGTAAGATTTTTAGCAATTTTTTTTTTTATGAGAAGGAAAGTGAATGTCCTACTAAACCTAAAAACATCTGTAAAATATGTAAATACCAAAGAGGTGGAAAGGAAGGAGGAGGTCTGCGTATCTGCTTAGACTACTGCGCCTGACATTTAGACGAGGAGAAGCAGCAGGAAAAAAAACCAAACAGACCAATGGAAAATATCCAAATGTGAAAAAAGTAATCATCTAAACATGTTGCATTTTATTAATAAATGTGACAAATGTGGAAACAACATTAAATGAAAAAAAAATTAACTACAAATTCAGAGAAGGAAAACAAACATGTATTTCTATAATAATAATAATAATAACAACAAGGATAATAACTTGGTGGCAGCCTATTTTTACTTTCCAGTACTTATACCTGCGTGTGTGTGTTTCAGGGTCTGAAGAAGCTAACACGTCTGTATTTGGATGGAAACCTTTTAGACGTTGTGCCATCTGACCTTCCCCCAACCCTGCAGGAGCTGAAGATCAATGAAAACAGATTGAGAGGGATAGATGAAAACAGCTTCCAGGGTACTGCTATCACATCCTTTAATGACATCCAGCTGGTGTTTCTCTGTCCAAGAAGTCAAAGTACCACAGACATTGATTTGGCACTATCTAAATAAAACTGAATGGAATTGATATGAAATCGCCTTATAGTTTGACCTCATCAATTACATGGCCTGTAGGACTTCCAGAATCAACAGGCATCCCTGAGCACTTATTTGGGCAGCTATAAATATAAATATGATCTTAATTTACATTAATTTTATTCATCAAATAAGCATAAAGCTGCATGTATGGAATTAGTCAAATCTGATGAAAAACACAAAAGTTTGCCCTAAAATAAAGTTTTATGAGACTTTATTAGAGTTATATTTCTAGTAGAATCTTTGCTGCGGCAGGATTCTTCCATAGATTCCCATTCAATATTCCCATGTCTGTCTCCTATATTGCGTCTGGTTACAAACAACCGTTCATTGTTTTAAAATTCAAAATATAAATTGGTTACTTCATGGATTGCACAGCTCACAGACCAAAAGAAAGTTAGATCCTATGTATGGTTATTCACTTCTAAACACACTATTCATCACAAGTTTATCTTTTTTTTAATCTTTAAGATTTGAGCAGCCTGGTTATTCTGGAGCTGGAAGGAAATCTGCTGAGTGAGGGGAATGTAGATCCTCTGGCCTTCGCTCCCCTAATCCAGCTTTCCTACCTCAGACTGGGGAGAAACCATTTCCGTACTGTACCACAAGGCCTTCCCAAGTCATTGCTGGTATGAAACAATATCTGTTTCCTTGACTCTGACTATCTCTCATTCCTCACACTGGGATACATCCTTGGCCACATTTTTTTGACTTATTTAAAAGACCCCCGGGCCTCATATTTGAGATAAAATAGGCTTACATAAGTTCCAAACATTGGGATCTATAAAAACAAACTTGGCAGCCAAATGCTCGCAGCTATATTGAAACTCTAACCTATGTGAATGATATTTGGAGACAGAAGAAAACTGGAAATGCAAACTGCAGAGAGGTGAATTATATGTGATGCCTCTCAACTTATACACAATATTGCCAAAAATATTCAATCACCCATCCAATCTTTAATATATTGATACGTTTTTTCATAGAATTTGTGAGGTGATAGACCTTAATGTTCACATGTAATTCTATAATCTGTGCACACTGTTAAACTAGAATATGGAAGCTTTAATCAGCTCATAAGCCTTTTTGAACTGCAGCTGGCAAAGAAAATAAATATACACAGCTTTCAATAAACCAACCTATTACATAGTTGATCAATTTTTCTTTCACATTGTCAGAGTAGCTGAATTTACTTTTTGCTGAAGTAGCAAAATTTTCTTTTTGGGTCTGATGTTTAATTTCTGCTTCTACCTGTGGGAAACCATTTCACCCGAGCAATTATGGCCTTTGGCTAACCACAAACAATGCAGAACACCAGCGGCACAATGCTGCTGTAAACCTACTTCATTTTATGACACTGGAAAGGTTTTACTTACTCTCTCTGCAAATCCAAACCCTCTGATTGTTGTTCATCCAGAACCAGAGTACAGTCTATCATTAACATGTTTCTCTGCTAAATATTCAGGGTTCCAAGTTTTGTGAGAGACTTTGGCTTTTGAATAGTGAAGAGTTAATGATTATAATTAAAGGTTATGCGTGGTGGTCACACTCCTGCCTGCCTTCTCATTTTACTAATTAGGCTGAAAAAACACAAACACAGCTTTGGCATGAATTATGCATTTACAGCCTTAAACAAAGTCAGGAAGAACAACAAACCCATCTGCCAAGATCTCTGAACAAAAACCATCCAGGAAACATATTTACACTAATTGCATGTGAAATTAGGAACTCACGGCAACATTGGATCCCACTTCCTCATAAATAGTTTCTATTATGACGCTCATGTTGACAAATATTTTGTTTTATGTTTTTCCATCTTTTAGGAACTCTATTTGGAGAACAACCTTATTGAAGAAATCTCAGAGACCGTTTTCAATCAGACCAGCAATCTGAACATAGTTTCTTTAAGACACAACAAACTGGAGGAGACCAGGATTGCTCCACTGGCATGGATCAACCACAGGTCTGACAGAAAGAGAGGCTTTTACCCCCACAGTAGTGTTACTTTAGCTGTAATTTTCATGGTCTCTTACTGTTAGTAATTGTTTTCATACTGTTACCTTCTCTGCAGAAATTTGGAGTCCATTGACCTTTCATATAATAAGCTTTACATGGTTCCTTCATATCTACCAAGATCTCTAGTTCACTTGGTGCTCTTGGGAAACAATATTGAGAGGATACCTGGTAGGTGTGACTGGTTAAAGGATTATCTGGCTAATAAATGTTACCTTCTTAAAGTTAGCGGACTGACACAAAACCTTCCTATTCAATGTTTTATTTTTTAAACAATAATAACTTTAAATGGATTAGGCTGATGATTGATCTAAGTTTTTTAGAAAATTAACTCCTATAATACATAAGTGGTAAGTGCTAGCTTACTTAGGTCAGTTTCTCCAACACTGAGAAAGCAATGCACAAGCAACATCAGAGGTTTGGGTTTTGTTATGCTCTTTCTGATGTATGGGTACTGGAAGCGGTCAAAATGTATTTATTTTGATCTTTTTATTACCCATCGTTTATTACCCATAAACAAACAAAACAATAAATATATACATAACTAAATAAATAAATAACATGATCAAAGTTAACAGACTACTTTAGAATGACTTAATGATTTGCTGTGTAGTTTAAGGTGAGCTGCCGTTAACACTTATTAAGACTTGTACAGGTAGAGTTAAATTATTGTACAAGGTAAATTATTTTCTTTAAATACCTCCACAGGTTACGTTTTTGCCCACATGCAACCTGGTTTAGAGTACCTCTACCTCTCCTACAACAAACTGGATGGAGAAGGGACTGAACCCGAGTCGTTCTTTGGGGCCTACCACTCCCTGGTAGAACTGTGTTTGGACCACAACCAGCTGGTTGTTGTGCCATCTGGCATCAACGAAATGACCAACTTACACTTCCTCAGACTCGACAATAACATGATCAGGTAAGAAAGCACTATTCATAAATACACATGCATTAATTCTGAATGTTCTAATATGCAAACTTTTTAAACAGTTACTTCCTTGACACACATGAGACTATCTTACTCGTAATTTGTTTATGTTGAGAACATTTTTTGGCACTGGGCGTACTGTTACAGGCAGAATTGTACTGTTATATGTCTGCACTAGCTAATTATAAAATGGGAGCATAAATGAGGCTTATAGAAGACACCTCTTAACAGCTCTCTATATTTGAAACTCTCCAGTCCATTACGGATCAGTTATAAAATAAGAAGAATTTCAAAAATGTAATATCACTTTGCTAATTTTTACATGTTATTTGTTTATGGGTTTTTTCCCCAAATCAAATGCTTTGCACAAACTTCCAAGACAGTAGAGAAAAATTATTACTATTGACTTGATTGGTACAATGGCGTAACTAATAATTAAAATTAAGACTGATGGTGTAATAATGATTTGCATGATTTGCTCCGACTTTAATATGATGACCAGAAATGATTACTGATTTATTTAGTTACAGAAAAAAATAAGTTAGTGATTGATGATCTCAAAAAACTAATTTAAGTAAGAAAAGGAGTCAGGAAAAAACAGGTGATTAAACACAGAACCACAAAGTCATTTAAGACCAACAACAAAGCTCCTATGACAGACATGAGTCGGACCAGATGACTGACTCATTCAACACAGACTGCCAAACAATATTATACTGAAAGTTCACTGGATGGAGAGTTGTCTTGACGACAAGAAACAAAACAAGTTGATTCATAGTTCCACCTAGGAGTCTCACTGAATCACCTCATTATGCACTCACAGGTTTCTTGCGCCGTGCACACAGTCCAGGTCGTGGCAGTGTGTTTTATTTGAAATGACCAATTTAAACACTGCACTTTGGTCTGTCTTTATTGGCAAGAACGCTAACACTGCAGGTGGGAAATTACAATCAGACTTGAAGGAAATATTGCTAACCATTCTAACATATGTGGTGCAATAAATACACAAAAAAAACCCTAAAAATGAATAAATATGCACAAAAGTTTAAAACCTTGAAAACGGACTAGAAATGTATATGTTAAATTTCTTCTTAGAAAATGCTAAGTGAGTATTTTCTTCTTTTGGAACATGTTTAACTACACAAAGAAAACAAAAGACGATTTCCAGTAAATGCAACATGAAGTGAAAAGTAATTAGTAGTGTTGGTCTTATATACTCATTATATTAACTAAATATTAATGTCTGTGTATTAATAGTTTTGGTGATTAATGAACTCTGTAACCGTGTATCTTCTGCATATCAGTGAATTGTACATTAAAACGACATGTTTCCCAGAGGGAGCATATATGCAAAAATATACTTGGGCACAGATCAGTACTCCATTATCTGCCAGTTAACACATAATGGAAAAAAGTTTGTTTCAGCTATAGGGAATAAACATGAATCTATATTCTCATGCTATGTCTTCAAGGAGTATTCCTGATGAAGCCATCTGTGACCCAAACCGCAGCGGGGACTCCACCTTGGTGGCTGTAAGATTGGAAAACAACTACATCGACCCACAAAAAATCTCACCAATGGCCTTTTCATGTGTAAGATCTGCATCAAGTGTGGTCTTAAAACCCCAGAAAACCAAGTGAACACACATAAACAAAATAAAAAACTGAGAGACAGTGGACTTTAATCTGCCAAAAGAAGACAAAATCTCCTTTCATCATTTTTTTCTGTTACTAATATCATACAAATAATATAATACGAATAAACCTAAAAAATTACTAGAAAACGCATTAGTCTGATGTCAAAATCTGACACACATTCAAACATGGTTACTGTTGTATGGTAAGATGCTATTTGAACATTTTCTACAACTTTAGACCAAACACATGGTTTGGTATCTGGTAAGCTGTCCTGCTCTGTCACTTGGCCTTAAACTGGTGTGAAAGTGACAGAACACATCTGTCCACTCTCAGAAAATCTTCTTCTACTTTTGGCTGGTCCCTCTAGAGGGTCGCCGCTGTGGATCACTGTGTAAAAGGGAAGGAATTCACAGTAAAATGAAAATCCTAATAAAGAAATGGAAAGAATTCTATGAAGTGCGACTGCAAGCACAGCGCATTATTTTTAACAACCTCAGCACCTTCATGTTTCATTTCTCAGCAGCAATTCTTCCACTGTTTGTTTTCATAAAAACCCTGACATGGAAAGCTCACACGTGACACATCCCCTAAGATGATTGTGTTAAACCAAGTGCTGCTGGAGCCAATTCCTCAAACAGATCGAGATGAGATGTAATGACATGCCTGTTCCTCAACATTTTATCTTTATCTTGCTTACGTGAATGGACAGGGCAGTGACCTCCTCAATTGTAGTTAAGTCTGATTTATGTTTGATGCAAAAATTAGGTGGGAGTCTTGCTATTGCATGTGTTATGATTTACAATTCAGCATCATCAAGATGAATGCATCATATGTGATATTGAGCTTTTGTTATGGTATATCCTGCACAGCAACTGTTTCACTTCACTTTGTGGTTAAAAGAATTCACAATGAATTCACAATTCATTACAAAGTTATGACTGCATCTGTATCTGGGTTAACTTCTATTTCTTCTTATCCTGCTTTATATAGTATGTGTCTTAACATGGGTTTATTTAATCCCAGGTAGGAGCAGAGTATGCTAAAGAACTTATGGAGATTATGGCCAAACATTTCTGACTTTAATACTGCTGCATGAAAATATCTTATTTTTCTTACTGTAAATTTGTACTTCTGTGTTTTCTTTTAACTGAATCTTCTTCTTTCCCAGACAGAAACACACAAGACTTTTAGATAATTTAAACTCTTTTACTGTGCATCAGCTTTCAAGCTGTGCAAATTGTAATATAATGTATTACCACTGTGTACATGAAAGGCTCGTTCTACCCTAACGTTGCTTTGAAAAGCTCTCACTAGAGGTCCAAAACACTCAACAATTTACTTTAGATTTTTAATTTTTTTCCCCACAAATTTAAGATATATTTGAAGATTATATCCTTTCATTTGCTCTTGGCTGGCCAACATGCTTAAATTATATGAAGTTGGTGAGTATATTTTACAGTTTAGCACAATGTTATGATGCACGGAAAAAATAAACTTTAAGTTACCATTCCTGTCTGAGTGAAGTCTGCCTAAACCTAGTACCCTCACACACCCAAATAAGTTAGATTATATTGCACTGGATCCCCTGATCATTTACACAGCCTGCCTGTCCAGGACATTTAGGAGTATATTCATGTTATCAAATTAACAGCTTGGGCTTCAGGGAAAAAGTGGAGCCATGATGACTTTTACAGAATAAGAAAAAAAATTTAGTTAACCTTCCATTACATGTCTTTTAGCTATATGTAATACATATTTACTGAAAGCTGCAATTAACAGAGCTGAAAAGCCAACCAATTCATAATATTTTCCTCTACAAGCCTGAGGTTTAGGATCATTTACTTCAGTCACAGACATCGAAAGGATGATTGAAACAGAAAAAAACCTAAACTGTGAGGAGCATAAAACCACAGCTTCTTTAATGGTAAAAAACCTGAAAATATTAGATAATTATATGGGGACTAAAATTAATTTGAATGAATAAAAGCAATAAAACAAAGAATCACAAATGTGTGGTCAGTTTTCTAGATGCCGGCAGTTGTCATCTGACTGAACCTGGAGCTGGAAAACTTTCCTCCCTTGAACTAAAGCTGAGATGAAAGTTTTTCCTGAGGGAGTTCTCCTCTGCCAACATAAACAGCTGCTCTGTTCATCAGTCTTGCATATCAAACACGTGAGTGAGCAATCATATACTCATTAGTCATGTGACCTCATCCATGCTCCTCAGGATGAGGAGATGTAACTGAAAAAGTAAACTGTAAAGTCATTCCCATGTACTCAGACATTTTATCAGGCACAAAAGATCAGTACGGAGGTGGAACTCAATTCATCTGATTTCTGTGATATAAAAATGGAAAAAAATGAAATTAAAAGGAAAATGAAGCAGTGTTTTTGTTTTTTTGTGAATAACAGTGTATCCCCAACTTTGCAACCTTGTATTTGTGAGACACATGAAAGAAACTGTGACTATGATGCTTTTGTTCACTGGTCAAAACTGAGATACTTACACTCAGCAGCCAATTTGTTAGGCACACCATTCAACTGCTCATTAACGCAAACATGTAATCAGCCAGTCACATGGTACAAATGTATGGAACCAGGCATAAGGACATGGTAACGAAGACCTGCTGGAGTTCAAACTGAGCATCACAATGGTGAAGAAAGGTGATGTAAGTGAGTCTGACTGAGGCATGGTTGTTGGTGCCACACAGGCTGATCGGAGTGTTTATGAAACTGCTGATCTGCTGGAATTTTTCTATACAGCCATCTTTAGGTTTTACGGATAATGGTCATAAAAAGTGAAAATATCCAGTGTGCATCAATTCTCTGAGTGAAAGTTATGCCAGATTCTTTAATGTTGATCCCAGAATTCAGAGGAGAATACCCATTGAGCTGATAGGAAGGTAACAGTAACACAAATGACTACTTTTTACAACAAGTATACGTAGAACATACTGGTTCGATGGAAAAGGTTTGATGGAAAAGACCACACTGTTCGAGATAAGTCTGTGTCTTGCATGCAAACTATAGCAGCAAAATGTTGGTAAAGTACAGGATAAATATTCCAACACAGTGCAAAAACAAAAATTACTTCGTTTTAAGGGGTCATAAGCTAAAACTGCTGGTGACCACTAGGGCTGCCACAAACGATTATTTTGATAGTCGACTAGTCACCGATTATTTTTGCGATTAGTCGACTAATCAGACCATGCATCCATTGGACGTAAAACATACAGCTTATTGCACCAGCATTCATCTGCACTATCATTAGCTTACAGCTTTAAGTGTCTAAGGTATAACAATAAGACTTTTAAGTTATCTAAGTGACTTATATATCATGTTTGAAAATGTTTGTTTGAAAATATGTGGTGTCTTGATAAACTGAGCAGATATTTGAGGTTTACACAGCTACATTCTCGCCTGAAAATATGTTAAACGTTTATTTTGTGACCCAGAAAGAATAATAAGAGTAAAACTAACTAGTAGGGATGGGTATCATTTAGGTTTTATCCGATACCGGTGCCAAATCGGTACTTTTGAAACGGTGCCGGTGCTCAAACCGGTGCTTAAAGAATGGAGAACACAAAATTGGTCCATAAACCTCTCATGTTCAGCTGTTTTTTGTAAAAATATAACAATGTTAGCCTTTTCTGCAGCTATGGGGCATATATGGTATCACTCTTGGCTGGAAGCAGTGCTTAAACAATGGAAAAAAAACAAACTTTGTCCTAAACCTCTCATGTTTAACTGTTTTCCACTTTTTCTTTGGTCATTTTAGCCTTTTTAGCCAGGGTGAAGGGAGCATCTGCCATCAAACAAGAGGACAGCCGCATGTAGCTATGATGATGTTTGCTAGTTCACCTTACATGCATTAATGTAATAACGTGGTTAGCCTACTCAACGTAAATTAGCTACTCACGCAGAGAAAAACGGCTGCTGCCACCATCATCCGTCATCATTTCTGCTACACTGGCAGGGCTAGGGGCCAGGACTCTCCTCTTCGTGTTTTTGGGGGATGTTGCATAACAGGCAACCCACCCGCAGTAGATGTACTCGGTGTGAGGTCTCGCAGCAAGCTATCAAATACGGCGCATTTCTGGGCTTTTAAAAAAAAACGCTATGCATCGCCAGGTGTTTCATCGGATTCGAGGTGTTACCTCCTTTGACAGTATCACAGTATCAGCTTAAAGCACTTGTTGCTGCTGAGTTTGCATATTTTGCTATGAAGTACAGCCAGACTTTTGACCGCTTCGCCTTGGACATTTTTAATCTGTAGCTCTGCTCTAACAGAACGTACGTACCTGGCCCCGCCTACTATCCTCGGAAACGTAAAATTATTGGCTAGAATCTAAAGTGTATCACAGCTCAGGAAAAAAAAGCACCGAAATAAAGCACCGAAATGTGCGCTGCTTTTCGGTCTGGTTACTACCGTTTATGACAGAACCGGTGCCATCATGGCACCGGTTCTGTCCCTACTAACTAGCATTGTTGGAAACGATGGGCTGCGCTATGAATTCTGGGACACAGCTTCTTCTTCTTCGGGGTTTAACAGTCCGTTATTACACTCTTAAATCCTACTACTTATTCCTGCGTCTTTTGGGATCTTACAAAGCTTCAAACGACGTGTCGACTATTAAATTAGTTGTTGACGATTTTGATAGTTGATGTAATCGTGACTAATCGACTAATCGTAGCAGCCCTAGTGACCACTGACACAGATTTAGAAGTAAAACAATGTGAGAATACCTAAAATATATTGTTAAATCACTAAATTCAGTTAGAATAGCAGTTAAATGTACTTACTGACCAACAGTTACTTGTGAGCAAAAGTTAGTTTTATGAATAAGAATATATGTCACATTAAAACAAACAAACAAAAAACAAAAGTAGAAAAACAAACAATCAAAACACCAATAATCAATATTAGTGTCGGGTGGAACTGTGGTGAGGTGAGATCATGGTGGAGTGTGGGGCTAGTGAACACTGCTCTGTTGTATAGCCTGGCTGGGTAACAGTGCCAGAAACAGGTAACACACTGAGTTGCAGGGTCACAGTTCTTTTAAAAATGTTTCCTGGCTTCAAAACGTTCCTGTGGCACTAAAGCAACAACAGCACTGAGGCAACTCTTTGGCTAGATGCCCTGGAAGTTGCCCCCGTGACTTACGGCATTAAAAGAAATTACCAGATGGAGGAAATTCTCCTTAACACAAAAACACAACAAGTTCCAGCCGTTCCAGCGCCGTCATAGACGTCTGATGGGTTGGAAAGTATGAGATCCTTAGAGAGAAGAGACATCCTGACCGCCTTCCATCAGTCAGGCAGACCATCTCACATCAGGAAATAATCTCTAACATTTAATTTGCAGTTTGAAGACAATAAATCCAACAATTACGCCATAGAATATTTTCACTACCACAAACCAGTTTCCCCTCTTTGGATTATTACAGCTACTGAATTAAATCTTTCTGTGGCAGACCAGTCAGCTGAGAGGTATGAGGTTTCGAAGGGCTCGTGTGCATGAAAACAGAAAACGACAGCATGACGGATACCTGGCTCAGACAAAGAAGCTCAATAATTTGAAGTTTGCCTTTGCTTCTGGGTAGGCAGAAAGACAAAAGGACCACCCACCATCCAGATCAACATGACGCAACAGGATATACCGTGGGGCTAGTGGTCCTTACAGTGCAGACAAATACCTTTAATGTCTTAGTCCTCACACAGGGCACAAAAAAGAGAAAACTCTCATGTAGGGTTACATCATGGTCTAATCAGATCCCTCCAGTGTTTGGGAAAATGGCATCTTTTAAACTGACAATCTGGCTCCCAAGAGGCTATTGTTTCAGCACACAGCCATGAAGCTGTGATTATGGGGAGCTGGAAACTGAGTCTGAGGTTTTAACCAAGAAGGTGGACGTGTTTAAGCTACTGGTATCTAATACGTGAAGTGGACATAGTTCTGTGAGACTACTTAAATGCATCCAACTAGCCTCAAGCACATTATTTAACACGCTTTTAAAAAGACAAATTACATAAATATATGTAGCCAGTTATGAAAAATACCACAAAAATGTAAATGTAATGTAAAATTAGCTATATATTCGTGAAAGTTTAAAAAGTAAAAGTTAAACTTTGAGACATGTTCTACCCATACATCAGAGAGGCATACATCAACAGGGCATGTTGATTTTCCAGCTTCTGGGAACAAGAGATGTTTTCCCTTTTTTAGCCTGGAGGTAAAATCAGATTTTTGCTGCGTTTCCCACAAGTTGTTCATGAGTTTATTTATTGCTATACCAAGTCAAAAGCTAGTGGTAGGAATAACAAGTGATAAAACTGAGAGCTTACGTTTAGGAATTTCCTTCAAAAAGTTTGTTGCACATGAAAGAAGTCAGAAGGCTCCTTGTTGATGTGATGATTATTTAACCAGATCTGTGATGGTTTGGAAAATTTGATTTCCCCACCAAGACGATTCACTAAAACCAAAACAGACCCGATCCCATTTCGGGTCTTCTGACTGCCAAACCAGGGCATATTTGGATGGTCTGGCTCAGCCATAAGTTGTGCAATTCCAGCTCAGCTCAGCAGAAAATACCAGAAGTAAATGGAAAAAGGAATTGTATAACACTTGAACCCCTGAGGGAACAAGCTGTTAGCTTTTCCATTCTTGGGAGGTACTTCTCATTCCTGCTTCAAATGTAAAGCTGAAAGATTTCCTACTGTGTCTTGTTAAGACAACATCACGCAGAGCACAATATATAGTAAACTTTAATTTGATGTTGCAAAGCATCACCTCCAATTATCTTTTGTCTCTGCTTTCCAAATCCACAAACAGGACATTTATAACACCAAGCTGCCAGTTCTGACTGACTGTAATGGTATGTTGTATCACCTTAAGAGTGTATCACTTCATTGCCAAAGAGTAATACACCTTAACAAGTTGTTTAGAATTGTGGACATCTGCCTGTGGGCTGATATAACGGAAATTGTTCTCAGTTCTTTTTTTCCATAAAGTTTTGGCTCTAGAAAGAAGACAGAAAAGGTCTAGACATATCATAAGGTTTGTTATGTAACTGTTCCTTACACCTTTATTCAGACATGACAGCAGCTTTGCAAAAATGCAAAGCACAACAGTTATGTTTCTACTTATCTCTACAGTTTAAATACAAGTAAATCTGCCAAATAAATGTACTTTTGTGCACAAAAATGAAAACTGAGTGCCAAACATTTCTTTTGTTTGCTTAAAAATAAAATACTTCAGCCACTTTGATAATATGATATATTCTTCCAAAGTGTATAAATGCATTTCCACTTCCTATGGGTAAACTATATTCAGAGACTGTTGCTGTGTTCTTATATCATGTTTACCTCAAATTTTCTGATCGCTAGTCTTCAGTAATATTGATCTAAATGAACTGTCTACCAGTCCTTCACCATCACCCTAAAATCTCTGAGAGGGCAGGCTCAACTCCACCCTGTTGTTTCAATTAGACAAACGAAACCGCTACAGCAGCTGTACAGTTGTACTATCCTTTATTAACCCAGTGCCAACGTGCCTCAGAGAAGAAACCATTCACACTGATGTAAAACAGTTAATGTGGCTGAGAAGGGAGGGGAGGTGACAGACCTACCAGTATGTTCTATATATAAAGACTTGAGCATACAGGAGTCTGAATCTAACTATTCTGGCATTACTTCAAAGCTCCTGATGAAAAGCACATGACTAAACTCTTAGCAATGCCTTTTCAAACTTAGTCCCACAGGCCTACAGATGGTGTGATCACTCAGAGAATCAAGAGCTCTTTACTAAAACCGAACCTCTCACCCTTACCAGTGGAAATTTTCCGTTGGTGGGGGTGTTCAGGGGACCACTTTCCCCCCCCTTTTTTTTTCCCGGAGAGGAAGGGTGATGCTGTTCTTCGTTCACTGGGAATGTATTGACTGAGGATCCAACTCTCAGCCTTCCAGCTGGACCCTGCTGCTGCTCTGCTCACTGTGTGGGGTTTAAACCAGGACATAAACACACCTGACAGCTGAGGTAGGACACACCCTGGATTAATTTCTTGTTTATAAAAACACCAATTCATATTTCTAATGCAGCAAGCTAATGGTACTGTGGTCAGTTAGCAAGACTTCTGTTGTTACCTTTAAAGTTACTAGAGGTGTTTTGGTAGAGCCAAATTACTAGGCTGCAAATTCTAATCTGCCAATTTTAATTTAAACTGCTGATGGCTATGGCAGGGCATCCTGATACTGATAAATACTTACTTGCATGCAATAAGATTGTGCTTAGATCATTTTACAGTGAAGTTAAGTTTATATGTCTCATGTTGAAAGACCAGTCTAGTTTTAGGCTTTATACTGAGAAGAGTAATACATTTATGCATTGCTTGGGGTCTTTGCTCATTTGACAAAAAATACAAAATACGGTCATGGTACCAATAATAAATGCATAAATGCATGGAAAAGGTAGTTTATAGTTTCTAATTAAAATTCCTATGCCAGATGTATAGGAGACGGCTCTAACCATGGTATCAACATTTTTAAAAATCCCTAAATTAAAAAGAAAAGGTTCAGGCATAAATCCGACTATCAATTAAGTGTTGACTGTCAATGTGTCTATTTCTTACTGATTATTTCTGAAATCATCATCAGCATGCCCAGGACTTTTGGTTTTAGCTTCAGTTTTAGATTTGGTGTTTGTAAAGTGAATGTTTAGACTCAGGACAGATGATCAAAGAGAACAAGACATCTGATGTTTAGAAATGGAAAATGACGAGTATTTTCTGACCTTTTCATGACTAGCCATGTAATAATTGAGACCAAGTGATATTAAAGATAATTTCTCAATGTAAGTGGTAATAAGATTATGAGAGTCCTAATGAAAGACATCTGGTTTGAATACTTATGAAATGCCTCTTTAGATGTAAATATTTGCTGCGCCAGTCAGACTGCAGTTAATGAAACTTCTAAGGTTTCAATGGTTGTTTGACTCAGTGAAAAGAAAACAACAACAAAGAAGAATTATTCCCAACTTACTGCACAATTGGAAAGCATACATGAAGCATTTGATGTATTTATAGTATTTTTTTTTTTTTTTTTTTTGGGCTAAATGTTCACATGTGGAACACAGACAGACTGGGGGCAGAGGAAGGGGGTCGGTGCTGTGCAGTATTTGCTGTCAAAGCAGGATGCTCGACCACCACCACATATTTGTGGGTGGACTGCACGTTGAACTGCACGGCTCAGAATCCATCAAGATTAGCAGAAGCACGGAACCAGACAATGTCAGCCTCTCTCGGCTGGTTATGTGAATATGTAATCGAGGAGGATATATAAATCATGTTGTGAATGACCACAGATGGTGAATAGGTGAGAGCTGGAGAAACATTTATGTTGGCTGCAAGAAGTCCTTTCCAGAGGAGGTTTTGAGAGCTCCATGGAAACACTGGTAGAAAAAAAGGGTAGCACTTATGAAAATTGATCTCTCCAGGAAGTCCACATGCACTTTCAAATGTACTGTTTTAGTAATATTCTTAAATCAAGCTGTAAAAATGAAATTTAACTCATGCACTAAAAACTGCTCATGTGTATGGTGAAATTAGTACTAGTTTTATAAAGCTCCAACACCACCAACAATCTAGAATGGTGGTTCCTATAAAGCTCTGACTGGATTGTTTTTAGGAAAAAACACAACCCAGGAAAAACTGCAGCACAACAGTCAGAATGATCAGCAATTATACATTACAGTGGTTCCTAACTGTGGCACTAGCTGCATTAGTTTTTTTTAAGTAAAAATGTAGTCAAGAAAAGACTGATAGATCACTAGATTAAAAAAAGGTTGGAATAGACAGTTCTCAGCTAACTAAATACTATATCCTGTAAGTGTGCTTTATACTGTGCCAGAACTGTTTTGTTCTGTTGTTTTCTATTCTGGTAATTAATTAATAAAGTTTTCTTGTGATGCTATCAAGTTCAACCTCCACACTGGGGACTACTTAAACATGGCACTTTGAGTTACTTTAAACAAGGATGATAAGAACACTAGTAAGAGGGGTTAACAAATCTAGCAGGCACCATTTTACTCAGTTATTACACTATACTAGAAATACAAAGTGAGCTGAGAAAAATAACTGGTATGTGAATTTCAGTTTTGTTCAGGCTGAAATAAAAGTTCAGGTACAAAAAAAAAAAAATCACCAGTGGAACAACCATGGATGCAACGATGCAACTGTAATTGTAAATGTATTCATTTTTTCATTCATTTATCCTGTCTTTCCTAGAGTTCTCCTTGGCTGCTGTTTAACCACAACTCTAATAAAACCATGAGGATCTTCCTCTTGCTTTGCCTGCTGGCGCTAGGCAATGCCAAACCCTACCAACCAATCAATGTAATGGACTACCTGAAAAACTATGACACAAAAATCCATGAAATCATGATGTCGGATTCAAATGATGATGATGATGATGATGATGATGATGATGACGACGATGATGACGATTACGATGACGAGGACTGTCCAGCTCATTGTCATTGCTCACCCAGAGTGGTGCAGTGCTCTGACCAGGGTTAGAACACACTCAGTCTGAAGTAACTCATTATGTTATATTATGTTACTAGAAACATGGAGTGTGCTAAAACACATTCAATTCAAAACGCTATGTTAAGTCTGCCATATAAGATGATAGGTAAGGCTAGTGATAATCTTATGTTTATTCCAGTTAAATTCAATGACAAAAATATGACTATGGTTTAGTCTGGCCTTAAGTTACTTCTCTATTTCTGGCACTCATATACATAAAATAGAACAGCAATCATGTAGTAGTTGCTGTATTTGTCTATGTGAAAACGTTTTTTTAAAATAAATATTTATTTTAACATCAGTTTTATAAAAGGATATCAGCAATCTCTGCCTTGCAAGGTTTTAGGATTTATCTACCACTGAAAGCAGTCTCCAAAATCCACTTGAGCATTAATTGCTAAAAAAAATCTTAATGACATCTTGTAAGACATGCTTGCCTAAACCTTGCTGATTAACAGCAGTTGGGTGGTGCATATATGACTAACATCACCATGACCACAAACTGTAGAGGAATATCTGAGATAGTACTTAGTCATTGCTGATTTGGGTTTACAGGAGGCATTACAGTATATGAATTTAAAAAAGTGATCAGGACTAACAACAATTTGACTGTTAAACTGTTGTCATATAACAAAATATATGAATGTTAAGACACTGATGAAATTTGGCATCATATATACATTTAATGTGAACTTTCTAAAATGTAGGGGCAATGCAGCCAAACAATTTTCACACACAACTCACCAATGGAACAGGAAAGCCTTCATTTCCAGCATTTCAAAAAACTAAAATTTTCTATTTGGTTTTGTGGTCAAAGTTCTAGAACTAAAGTACATTAAAGAACTACAGTACATTAAACTCCAAAAGCCCAACTTACAGTACAGTGGGGCTCTCTTATACTTTGGTACTAGGATTAAGCTATGAAAACACCCAAGGGTCCACTGCCAATCACTCCAATAACTTAAATTTTTTTAACCAAACGTTCATATACTATTGGCACACGCAGCAGCAGCTTGTGATTTTTTTCTGAAATACTATTTGGTAACAATTTCTTTTTCACATGTGTATCTCGGTTAAAAAAAACCCCAATTATTTCCATCATTTCTGATCCAACTCTTTCCTTTAAATATGCATTTATGTTTTTTTCTTAACAGGTCTGATATCTGTTCCTGATAAGATTCCAGAAGACACAGTGATGATTGATCTCCAAAACAATGATATCACTGAAATCCAGCAGGATGACTTTAAAGACCTCAACAAGCTTTATGTAAGGCATCCTTTAAGAACTAGTTTACCCTGCGCATGGTGCACTGAACATCAGAACTACTTACTGTTAACATCTAATATATGAAGAAGCATGCCGGCAAGTTAGTTACAAGCAAATGTAGTAACTGAATGGCATCAGTCCACCTTAGAAAACCAAACTACATAAGCAAATAAGTTCCAGTCACATTATGCATCCTCCATATGTTATGTACAAGTACTACAAAAGAATGCACGTTTTAGCAATGCTCATATACTGCACATGGAGGGGAATGCATTACATCATTAAAAATAATGCTGGATAACTGGACATACCAATCTTTCTACTAAAGATTAAAAGAGCTGACTCAAACATACTGTATTCACACATCAGCACAGCTCTTCTGCTCTAAGCTGGGCAGAGTAGAACTCTAAACTGACCTCTGTGACTGAGGCCTTTGTTTATTTGCAAATGTCCTGTTGTACAATAACCCAAGAATACAAAGTTAGGTGAAGCTCATAGGTATATTATTAGGTTTGATGGTATGCTGTCTTAGCATTTACATTTACAGTTATTCCCCCAGTAAACCCTCTTGTTTAAAAGTTTCCATGAATTAGGAAAAATCCAAGCTGCAATAGCTCAAACTGAGGGCAGGACTGCATAGTTTCTTACACTTAATACAATGCAAAAACTTCTGATTATGCCAAAAGTAATGATCATGGATAGTTTTGTCTATAATGAAATCACAAATTACCACGAAGAGATCCATCATGCCTGACCTAAATGCATTGCAGCTCGGCAGGAAGTCAGAAGGGGTGAAAATGCAGCATTTTAAATGAAATATTGCACTGGGTTCATAATTAAACACAAAAGTGAAGCATAATTTCAAGAAAGGATGCAGCATAATAATGGTTTGATCTTATCAGCTTGTTTTCATATTTGCTTGGAGCCAAAATTGTACCTGAAACTAAAACTGGATTAATTGTGAAGCCCTAAGAGGCCAAAATGAAACATCAAAGTCACTTAAGTCAGTACGGTACAAAATCTGGTAACCATTAATTGTTAATGGTACACTTAACACTACATAAATTCAGACCTAATGACACATTAAATAAAACAATTAGAACCATAAACCATAAATGTAAATATTTCTGCTAATAAATAAATTATGTATGTAATTTGCAGTTTAAACCCCACAATACTCATGGGTCAATATGGGAAAAGTTGACTGTTGTTATAAACATAATATAATGTCCAGCTGATGAGGTCTTTTGAAATAAAACTGGCCACATTTTTTGTTCTCCCTAGACCTTTAAACTGAGACACACCAAAGACAAAAAAACAGCACAAATTAGTACTAAGGCAACAAGAACAGACCTGGTTCTGAAATTTAAAATGAGTCACATTCAGCCCCAGGATATCAGTGACTGACCATGCTGTCTTGTAACTGTTACAGCTATGAGATAGGGAGAAACAATGCACTGATATCAGTCCAAGAGCAGCCTTCAAGGAAAAAAAGAGCTACTTTTTATAAAACTCTGCTGAGAGAAGCTTTATCTTTGATCTGTAGACAATGTTTTCTCAGCTGAGAATAAAACACATCAAGGCCTAAAACACTGAACAAAACCAGAACTTCATGCTATTATTGTGGTTAGTCACAGTGCTTGAATAGTGCAACTGACCAGCATCTTGATAGTGCTGAATGTTGTTTACTTCATAGTCTGCTCATTGATTCTAAATGTAATAAAGTCTTCATGACGATTCAAGTCTCACTATTGTAGTACACTACAAAAAAAGCACAACATAACTTGAGCAAAACATAAATGTTTTCAATCATAAGCATATGTTGTTCTTTGTTGAAAACCTTTTACCGAGCACAGGTTTAATGTTGGCCAGAAAAGTTCATTCTTTGCTGTTTCAAACTTTCCACTCTTTAACTTTGTGCAGGAAATGAAGCAAAACTGAATTTGAATCTATAAAGCTCTATTAAAGTTCCCCTTTTCCCTAAAACAGGGCCTGTTTCTGATCAACAACAAGATCTCTAAGATTCATCCAAAGGCCTTCAAAAACATGGACAATCTCAGACTGCTGTATCTGTCCTACAACCAGCTGATTGAGATCCCTGCAAATTTGCCTCCCAATGTCATTGAACTCCGCTTTCATGAAAACCAGATCGACAGAATTCAGAAGGATGCATTTAAGGGCTTGAGGAAACTTCATGTGTTGGGTAAGACCCACTTTTAGGTTCTTCTGTCTGGTTAACTATAGCTGTTCTCTAAAGGCAGTGGTGTATGGTTCTTCGTTAAGGAAAGGTCTGAAGATTTATTTATTCAGTCAAAAGAGGAATCATCAGGAGGTAATAACATTACTTTAACAGTGAAAGATAATCAAACAGAATGAAGGAATGGCTATAACCTAGATCTGGCATGAATAGTAATTACAGACTTACATAAAGGTCCAAAAAGCTCTTAATCCAACATAATAAAACAAGCTGGTTGCTACTGCCTTTCAACTGCCTTCAACTTCTACTGCCTACTCATACTAATATAGTATTTTATCATCTGCCACCTCTGTCGTTACAGATCGATAAACTAATAGTTAATGCAACAACTGCATCCAAAC